GACACCTTTTCTTTTTCTAAATGTGTAGTTGGACTTCCTTACGCTGACAGAAGTGTGGCCCATTGCCTCAGGTTAATTTGACATCCCTGCTCACATAGGGTTTTGAATCCAATACTGACCCCTGTGGGACTCCACAAGCAATGTTCAATCATTTTAATTATTGAGTTCCTGTTTCTCTTTATTCTTTATACTTTATTCTAGTTGCTCCATGATTCTTCGCCGTGGAACTACTTCCACAGTTTTTATCTGATTTTCGCCATTCAAAATTCTGCTCTTTCTGCTAATGCCGGCTATGACTTTTGGTGCTCATTAATTCTATACTTTTTGAGATATTGAATTTTTTATGCAATTTTTTGCCCATTGACGTGAATGGACCACATCATCAGTGTGGTCACTGATTTTGCTTGCCAGGTTGAGCTGTGTTTTAGCTCAGTTAGATCAGCAGCCTTTCTCAGAGCAGGAGGCCCGGGTTCAAATCCCGCTTATGGCAACAATTTTTTTCAGTTCACAGTTAAGCTTTTTTTGAACTGCTTTCAATACAAATTTCAGCTTCTCACCCCTTTTCAGTAGAATTTTCAGTTTTTCACCCCTTTTCAGCACAAATCCCAGCTTTTTCAGCTGTTTTCAGCAGAAACCTCTTTTTAGCACAAATTCTGCTGATTAACCAGCTTGTGGCAAACTTTCCTTTCAGGAGATAGTTTAACTTTTTCACATCTTTTCAGTTCAAATTTAGGCTTCTTCACTGCTTTTTAGCAGAATTTTTGGCTTTCACCTCTTTTCAGCAAAAATTCCAGATTCTTTAGCTGTTTTCAGCACAAACTTCAGCTTCTTCAGCTCTTTTCAGCAGATTGTTCCACTGCAAGGCATTCACACAGCACTTTTGCAGGAAATGCAATTTTTTCTTATCTCCACAAATTGTTGCCTTTTGTTTAAATAGCTTTCCACCTAGTCTAGTGCCACCCCTCTAACACCATACCTTTCCACTTTATTCATTAAAGCCTGGTGATCAGTTGTGTCAAAATCTTTCTTTAAGCTGATAAAAGCTCCAGCTGCATACTTTCTTTGATTGATACAATTTTAGTTAATGCAATGGATCTTGATCTGTAATATTTTGTGCTTAGTTATAAATGTATTCAGTCTGTCAATGAAAAGAGTTTATTTCAGTATTTTAGATATTTGTATGAGTAGAGAATTTGTGGCGTCTGTCTCTGGATTTATACAAAGGGCTAACTGCTCTCACTTATATCATAAAGAGTTGAAAAAACAAACCAAATGTTTAGAGGTCTTAGTTCACAGGGTTACCCAAAAATAAACTGGCATCATAATTTGAAAGTTTGGTCATGTTTAATATCTGTTACACACACACAGAGCTAATTTTTATGTTTTATTGTTTTCAATTTATGCTCAATTTTTTTTATAATATCACGTATAAAGAAACAGCACAAACTGTATCTTCAGACAAATCCGAGGCTTCAGATCTACCAGACTAATTTCATCACACATGATGGGCACTGTCATGAGGCCCAGGGCTTCTTGCAGATAATGAACACAGATCAAAAGACAGTGTGGAACATGGGAAAGTCATCCAGTTCAGATTGCATTATTTGTCTTTCTATTAGCAGATCATTTTTATCTTTCCATTTAATGTTTTGCATCAAATAAAATGTTGTTTTAAATGAACACAAATAAGAAAAACATCACGAAAACCTCTCCAAAAAGAAGCAAGGATGAATGACGGCCTCTTGTTGAGACATTAAGCAGATACAGTTATGTCTACGACTATTTATACAGCGACACAGTTTTTGTCAATCTGGTTTTATACATAGTCTCTCATTTTCAGAGACTCAGAAGTATTTGGACAAATAGCATAATTTTAAATAATTATGTGACCCCAGCAAGGACTCAAGACACTCAGCATGCTTGTGACCGTGTGTTTATTTACAAAATGTGCGTCTCTGCGTTCCTCAGTCCCTTTATCCTTTCCCTCAAAGAGATGCTGCTGTAGCAAATCCCTCTATCCCTTCAGTACTATTCAGACTTCCAGCTGTCTTCACCTGTCCTTCCTTCCTCCAGGTCCCGACGTCACTGAAATAGGGACAGTGTAATTACTGAATTGCTTCCAGCTGCCCTGCCAGTCTCCCTGGCACTGCCCCTTGAGCCCACTGGACCACCCGACCTCTGCAGCGGAGCCGCAAACCACACCTCCGCCACAAATACTTTCTAATAACTGTGGTCAACTACTCCCTGAAGTCTACAACATTTCCAGATGCCATGGTGATCATCTTGACCTGGCTTGTATAAACAAAATAGCTTCATTTGCATTCAGGTTTTCAATTAGGAATTTGAAATTCAGGGAAACTGATAATTATGGCCAGGACTGTAGCTGGTTATATGCAAAGTTCATAGTGGTTCAGCTGTCAGTTGTCATTGTTCCAATGAAAAGCACCAGTTCTCTTTGGGCACCGTCTGCTTTAAAATACTAAAAATACTAAAGTCTTGCAATAAAACACAACATATAATAGCAGAAAATATATCTTAGATAAAAATAAATTATTTTAAACATGAAAAGTGTCTTATGTTATTTGAATGTCTGTGTTTGTTAAGACTTGAAATACCAGATGATAGATACACATTTTCATATTACGAAAATAATTTGCACATTACATTCAAATACAGTCATGTGGAAAGGTTTTCACAGGGCTGTCTGCAGTAAAGTCGTGAATCATTAACTCACAAAACCACCTTCAGCAGCAAGTAATCATTTTCTGTATGTCTTTATCAGTCATATCACTCTTCCTCTTTGAAACGATGCTTCAGGTTGTTCAGGTTAGGTTCCTGGCCATTCGTTTATGGACAGCTCTCTTAAGCTTCTGCCACAGCATTTGACACCCTATTTTTTTTCTTTTTCTGGTGTTCAGAAAAAGATGTAGCCAAGCTTTATGTTGCAGACAGATCTGTTCTAGAATATTTTAGTGTTGTCATGAACTAGTCTGAATCTAAATGCAAAGATCAGAGTCAAAGATCAGCGACGATTGGCAGCTTTACAGAGTTCATTGAATGGTAGTGCGTTATTAACGGGCAACAGGTAAGTGACGGGGAAGAGCGGCTTCACTACAGGGATGCAGAGGAGCTCTGCTGCAGGGCGGAGAGGGTGTTAACTGCAGCCCAGGCGGGAGGAATTGATTATTGCGAAGCTTATGAATGTTTCAGACAGTCTTACTTGTTAGGATGGTAAATTGAAGCTTTGGAGGAACACTTTGTCAGCAGGAGAAAATCGAGGAGTGTCAGAGAGGTGGGGGGGGGGCACTAAAACAAACTAGTAACAGAAGAGGGCTTCCTATCACTATGTTGGCAAGAGGACTGGGGAACCCTTTAGCTTTAATATAGCCAACAATTGATTTCTATATTCAGAATAGCTATGGGACGGATGGCTCAAACAGGAACTTTCCTCCCAGTCGGGAGGGGAATCAGCAGGTACACAGAAGAGTTCATGGATGACTCAATGACTCCGAAGTGCCCGGGTCCTGTGGCTGCAGAACAAGCCCAGATGTCAGCACCACCATGCTAAGAGTTGGTCTGAGGTGTTGATAGGTTGTATTTTGTTTTGGCTTAAATTACACGTCGTGCATTATAGCCAAGTGTCTCCACTGTGATTCTACCTGTCCAGAGGACATCGTTTCAGAAGTCTAACTGACGCCTGTAGCGTCTGACATGTAGCTCTTTGGTCTTCTGCAGTTTCTCTGAGCTGCAGGTGAATTTGCTGAGTCGTCCATTCCTGGGGGGGACAACCAAGTGCCATGAGTGTTTTCCACTTGTAAATGGTCTGACCTGACTGCTCCAGACCAGCAAACTGCCAAAACCTCTGCTTTCATAGAGGTGCTCCCGCTTACTGATGATCAGTTAATCGATTGCATTCGATTAGTAACCCATAGCCTCGCCTTATCCCCATCATTCCTCATTCCAAACAGGATTTCTATTATCAATACTTGTACTTCAGCATAAACATTATTTCTGCGGTGTGTTGGTACACATTTTGGTTTATGAGAAACACACATTCAGTGGAAATGCGTGCATATACATCAGATTTAATTATAGAACCTATCAAAGCATTTTTAAAGCATGATGCAACGTTGTTTGGGATTTTTTGAGAGAGAACAGTAGGGGGAGCGCCTCCACAATAAAAAAAAAGTCCTCCACCTTACCTCACATAGTTTTTGTCTTTAAAATGGGCTTACCAGACATCGGACCGCAGTGCAAAGTGCCCATTGTCCTGATGTAATTCAGATCTGAGGCATTTAAAGACTTATAGATCAGACGGGATGGTTAAATAGGATAACACACACACACTCACACATTCACACACAATGTGTTCGGAGAACTGTGTTACTAAATTTGTACCACTTAGAAGTTTACAGTGAAGTCTATTTACATCACCTACGGGTCAGACTTTAGCCCAAACTTAAATAATGGCAGTTTCGCTTTGTGGGTCAAATCAGACCAAACTAATGATATAAAACACTTCTTATTATCGACTTTGACTCTTGGCGCAAATCCCCATTTACTTTTTGCAACATTACTCTCGTAAAAGAAATATTCCGACTGGTGAGTTTCTTCTTCTCCATCCGTGAAAGCCATTTAAAGTAGAAGAAAGTATATCTTGGCTCTCCTGCCTACGATCCTTAGCCACATTTGCACCAATGGCAGGACAGACGGCTCTGCTGTAGCCAATGATAAACCGCTGTTGAGTGCGCACTCGTTTGGCTGACGACGACCATGGAGCGGAGTCGTGTCCTCTTCGGCGTTTCAAACTTTTAGCGTTTAGTTTCATTTCGGGCAGAACGGTAAGTTTAAAACCGCTTTTGAGCAAATTTCCTTTTTGTTTTCTCGTGTGGCGACTTTTTCGGATCTGATTCTCGGTTAAGATAATTAACTTAGCTTCGGTTCTCGATCGTACACTGGAATCCATTGAGTTCAGTTTCTCATCAAGAAAACAAACCTCACCTTACACATTCCTCATGCTTTCCTCGAAAGCTTTTCTGGCTTTAAGTGTTGCTGTAAACGCGGTTTACGTCTTGGTGGGACTTTTGGGCCCCACATGATGCGCAAAATCGGTGCGCCGTCGGTTCTTTTCGTATGTTAGGCCGTCTTTTGTGCCAACCTGCACTTCTGCTTGAGGGTAAATATAAATGGTTTGGGTCAGTATTACTTTATGGTCTTCTGTATGTCAGCGTAATGCGGTACATTTCCTATGAATGAGCCTCAGGTGTGCGTAAACAGCTTCGCAACTTCGCAGGAAGCTGTTTGGACTGTTTTTGTTTGTTTGTTTGTTTGTTTGTTTGTTTTTTATGCCCAAATAGTTTGTCCTTAGAACAAAGAAAATATTTGATCAGTGGAAGTTTTGTGTTAATGTTTGTTGCTTTCTGAATTTGCAGGAGCGTTTCCCTGAGCTGGAATGGGGGAGATAGAAGGTTCATACAGGGTCCTGCAGACCCCTGGCACAAGACTGGGAGCCCAGTTCAATGCTGGGATCAGCACTCTGGAGCCGGGCCAGAGTCTCAGTGGCAACATGGTCAACAGGAGAATAAGCCAAGGCAGAGGAATACAGATCCGTGTGCAGGGGCTGGACGACTCTCAGGAGTTCTTTGATATAGAAGTAGGTTCTACTGTGTGTGGTTCGTGCATCCTCGTTTGTTTACTTAAAATATGTCCCCGGATTGCTCCACAGAAGGCTCCATCATACCTTGGAGGCCTTGGTCGCCCTGGTTTGTGTGTGTCTGTGTGTCTTGGTGACAGCTGCCACATGGCTTTGGTGCTGAAATCCCTTCCTCTTTAAGACTTCTTATTGGGGCAACTTAGTGTAACTCAGCAGGGCGCCTCTTGGTTTCTTGGCTGTGATTTCTGCTCCAGGTCCAAGTGGTAGCAGTTCTCTTTACTGTCCCTAAAGCTTGACTTCCAAAGGAGTAGGTATTAAAAGTTAGGAGTCTGGTCTTTCTGGGTTGTTTTTAAAAATCTTTTTTTTTTTTTTTTTTTTGTGGGGGGGATTTACGAAGTCTAAATTTTACAGAAGCATTTGGTTACTCACACAGTCATCACATACAGTGTATAAATCCTAGCCAACTATTCTTGCTTTTTTCTTTTCATTGGAATTACTTTAGAGAAGTTGATCCCATTTAAATACTTGCTGTTGAATGTTGCCATGTCTTCTTGCCAAGTTGCAGCAGGAGTCACCGAGGAGGCCAATAGGAAGCAATAAGGAAGCCACTCTATCAGAGCATGCTTCCTGGCTTTTTTATGTGAAGGGGAAAACAAATCTAAGTAGAGTCTGTACAATGATTAAATGCTCAATTCAGTGGCTGGTTGATGGTGAAGTGTAATAAGAAGACCTGGCAGCTGCTAATTGTGTTCGAATAGGTTTGTATATTTATACTTTCCTGTGTGTATCCTAAATCCTTGTGTAGCCACAAGAGTAGCAGTTCAGGAGTACTGCTGAGACAGACGTTTCATAATCTTATGCACCATATGTTGTCTCAAAGTCTTAAGCTAATAGAGCGTAACGGGCATATGTTAGACTTGCATGGAAGCAGACCTGTGTGCTGTTCAGTCTAAAGAAAATTTAATTGGTCTCAAGAAAATGTTGTTCTGAGTTCTGACAGGCTGACTGAGGTCTGAGTTCAGCGCGGCTCCGCACGTGGTGTTGATAGGAGGTGGCAGACCGAAATACATGGCTGCAAAAAGAGAATGACGGCAGTGCTGTTGTCAAGCAGACTGGAGTTTACCAGGAACAAGATGGCCTCTTAGAGGCTCTGTTGTTCACTGCTTAATATTTCTGTTCATTCATTGTGAGGAGTCGTGGGCTGGTGGGTGAATAGTTTTTATCCTTGTGTATTGAATGGCTGCTCAGCTAAACACATCAGAAATGTGCGCTCTGTTTGTGCCTATCTGTCCACAGTCACTTCAAAGAGAACTGATTGAGCCAGCACAACTTTTCCTATGCTTTTAATTATATTTTTTTTCTCCCTCGTGGAGTCCGTGTGCAAAAATAGATACAAAATTGCAGTGTGGAATGTTTGCCATGGTTGTGGCCTTCAAGTAACTGCCTCCCCTCATTGTGGCGTTTTGGTTGCTCAGCTGCCCAAATAGCTTGTGTACAGTCTCCATCACCTGCCATTTACTGCCCCTCTTACTGTACAGTGAAGCAAAAATACACTTCACTCAAAATGACACACAGGAAAGCCACAAGGGATTCATCCATTGTGCAAATTTGCTTGACATAGATGTTCTTGTTTTCTGCTTTGTTTTGTGTGGTTTCTCTCTGTGAGTCGGGGGATAAATGTATGGGAACATTTTTGGAGTATTTCTGCTTTGCGTTGTGCTTTTAAAATATAGATGCCACATAATTTATAGATTTTGACGTCTTATGATTACAGTATTCTGTTGATTATATTGGTGCATTCCTAGAATAACAGCTGCCATTCTCCATATTTATTTCTTTACCGTTACATCACATCTTTCATTACGTGTGATAACTCTGAACTGTAAAATCATATTGCGTGCAAAGGTGTGTGTATTTCTGGCCATATAATGTCTTTAGCCTGGACCTAAGACAGTCCAATCAGATCAGTCTCTTTGATCTGCTGGCCTTCCTCTGCTGCAGTTACCTGACATGGGTCATCATCAGCAGACATTTGCTTGCACGACTCTTGTCCACAGACCCCTCCCACAGCCACCAAGCACAGGAGAAAGCTCAGCCTTGTGGTTTCTGGACAGGGAGGCTGGGCCAGCGGGGCAGGGGAAACACAGGCCTCTTTTATCCAGCACAGCCAGCCCCTTTGCTGGCCTTAACTTCCAGCTTAAAACTTGCAAAAAAAAAAAAGGGCAGAGAGTGGGTTGTGGAACCTAGCTGTGTGAAAATGCGTTTATAGTCAGGGTGCTGGTGGGAGGGAATCCAGGCAGGCTTTGCTTTAGTGTTAGCAAACAAGCACATAAATAGCAAGGTTGACAACCAAGAGGGGCAGTTCAGAGGGAGCAGTCATGGCCAGTACAAAGTTTGAGCTGAGGTGGTGGGGGAAGGGGACACAGTCAGGAGTGAAGCCCTGTCGAAAGTTGGTCTGAGGAATTCCAAACCCCCCTGGCCTGTCCCTGAAATCACATTTGGACTAACTAGATAACTCAAACAGTGTAATTCAACCGTGATGTGTGCTTTAAAGTCCTGTTTCATCTGTGAGCCGTTCTTGCAACGATGCAGTCAGTGTGAAATGCAACAAAGTGTTTAATTATCCTTTAAAATGGATGGTTTACACTAAAGTTAACAATACACAATTTTCCTCTGGCTCAGAGTGTTATTTATTCAGCTTGTCATTTCTTTAAAGACATTTTTACATGGATTTTTAATGAATAATTGTTTTGTGTGTTGAACAATTTAGATGAATAAATGGCACTACAATCCAGAGGGGGGGTAAACAGATTTTTATTTATTTATTTATTTATTTAAATTGTGTGGAAGTTTCTGGCATTAACAAGAGATTGCAAGATCGAGGAAAAACACTTTAAAACCTTATTTTGGGAGCAAATAAAGCTGAAAAAGCAAAGATTTTTAGGAGTTTTTTCCCATCTGATCTCATTAGTGTTTCTATGCATGCAGTTTTTATGTTGCGTGATGTTTGAAATTAAAGTCAATTTAGATAATTGTTTGAAATGGATAGCTAAATAAGTTCCTGGAAGTGTTGTAAGATGGCTGTCCGGTGGAAAGACTTTCTTCCAGAGGGAATTTGGATAAAGTAATGTCAGAGTGGTGTATCTCAGTTTGTTATCTGTGGTCAGTTTATAATCTGTGGCGTCGGTTACGCAGGCATGCTCACAAAAGCAGTAATCTCGTTCTTCATACCAAACACAGGCTGAGAAGCATTCGGCTCTCATCCCCACAAAGCACTCACGCTTCCCCACTGTGTACTGAAGTGGCTAAACTATCTAATGGCTGTGCCTTGAAGGACTTCTTGTTAAATACCTCAAACAACTCCTCTCTGCTCTTACTGTTATGGTAATCTTTCCTGCTGCAGGGAGTAATTTACCACCACCTAAGGAGGATCCACCTACTGAGATTTTTTTTTTTCCTCCTTTTTCTCCCCTCATGTTTTAAACGCCAAGCCGAGGCTGTAAATTATCTGGGTTACACAGGTGACTTGAGCAGAAGGCACTCTGTAAAACATCTGATCCCGATTACCACCTTCCAGAGTTGATTTGCCAACAAACAACATGACTGCCAGCTGTCCACGGGCGTGTCCTAAAGCCAGGCAGCGAGAAGAAGGGAAATTGCCATTCAGTTATAAAATCCATCGAATAACCTGTTTAACGTCAAAATGTATACCGCTGTGAAAAATGACAGCGTACCTCCCACTGTGGCAAATGCAAGCCCCAACACACCCCTGCTGTCAGTGGGAGGTTCTGCTAGAGCCCTCTGCCTTTCACCGTGATCTTTAAACAGTGTTTAACCTGTCATGCAAGGTACAACAAATCCCTGCATTTTTGAGTTGCACCTGTATTTTTTTTCTTTTTCCCCCCTTGAAATTCTCTGTGCATGAGAAAGGCAGTCCTCTCCTATAGTAGGCTGTTTTTTAAGCTTTTACTTATACTCACCCCTGCTCCCAGCGCACACACACACAAACAAGGGGAGATTTGTCTTCCAGAGAAACATCTGTTTGCCATAATCCCCCGCTGCTTTTGGAGCTTGATTGGGTGACCCATTGACCTGCCTTAATGTTGGTGTGGAGATGAGGCTGTGGTCCACACCACAAGTAGGGTGTGAACAAACTCTGCATGATCTCGCTGTCACATCACAGATGTGACTTTACTTAAGATGCCAGGAGGGCTTCTGCGGTGCCACCCATTGGTTTATGATACATTAGCGGCAAAGAAGAACTGATAAATTATGTTTAAAGGTGGAGTTAAACAGCAAAGTAAATTTGGATTACTTTTAATCAGTTTGGCCAGTTTTGGTAGTAGATTTTCATGCTTTAAAAAGATATTTATATCTAGAAACGGGGCTGGATATGCCCATGCCATTTAGTTTTACTCAGTTTTCTGTGTCAGAGGCCTTCACAGGTCGGTACAATTGTTTTCTTATCTATGACTCTGAGAACTCAAATAGTGTGTTTCTTTTAAAGGCTTGCATGTGACTCAGGTGTGCAAAAGCTCCATCACCATGATACTGATGTCACAGTGTTGCAATGTTCAACTGTCAGGAAAAAAAAGCCAGCACTGATAAAGGAGCTGATAAGCCCGGAGGCAAACAATTCAGATGGATTGGACAGTTTTGAACCAATTTAGATTCCAGGCCCTTCCAAAAGAATGACTCATGTGATTCAACAGCTAAAATATGGATTTATTGGCAACTGCGACTAAAAGTCCATTTCATTTTTAAGACGTTTAACTCTGATGTCTGCATAGTGTAAAACTTCATTTGTACCGTGGTTGCTTCTTGGAGTTGTCTGAACTTGAAGACTGCTTTTGTACCAAAATTTTTGCTTTTGGTACATTATTGGCCAATTTATATTTGTAGTTTATAAACTTTTAAATTCAGGCATTTTTCATAACATCTACTACTTCTTTTTTTTGTTGTTCCACTGTAAAATACTTCAGCTGTACTTAAGCTGCTGCAGGGTTGCCAACATTTAAGTGTGTGCCCACAAAGTAAACAGTTAGTGACTTCAGAGAGATAAGCCAAATTGGACAGCATAAGAGGAAGTTGGTTGAGGGGAAAATATTATCTGTGGGCTACATGGAATTTCACTGCAGTGATGCTGGAAAGAACTTTCTTAGGGGGGAAATGGGGGAATGATGTGCAGTAGTTGTACCCTTTCCTCTTTGCTAGCTGCCTGGCTTCACCTAGCAGCTAGCAAAGAGGCTAGCTGGGTCAATGAGAAAATGCTATCCCTCCCTGTCTGACTGTAAAAGATAATGCTACATGTCAAAGTTTGATCTTACTATGCTCTTAAACACACGTTCACAATTCCAGCAGAGGGTTAATGAGTAACACAATGACAAAGTGCCAAGAAAAAGAAGATAGCATTAAGTAGTTTGCTCATGGCTACTGCATTGAGAATATAATCCTCAGCAGGTCAAACCTGCCAACTGCTTCTGGGTTTCTTGTCGAACTAGCAGGCTCAGTTCTTTTTGATTAAACCTAAACATTAATCGTGTGGTGATTAGGCTGATTGTAGCTGTTTGACACTGTGGTTTTAAACTTTGTTTGCTGGTTAGACTGAATTCCCCCCGACTTATAACAGGATGAGGTGTACATGGTAAACCTCAAGAACACTGAGAAGAAATGAGGATTAGTGTATGGAAACATTGTCTAACCACAGGGAAGATTTGGTTTTGCTCTAATAACTTTGTTAATGAAGCACTCACTGAATGAGTCAAATTGACAAAATACCTCAAAGCGTTTCTTACATTTGGCTCCTGAGTCGTTGCGTAAAAAATCTCGCTGACGTTGTCTGGATCGTATGTTTGGCCTGCACTCAAAGGCAGCCCAGACAAAGTATTTTAACACACCGGTTTTTGTTCTCCGTTTGAGGTCAGCTGAAATCAGATACCTTGAATGTGTGGAAAAAGGGGGAATTTTACAAGAGATTCCTAAATTTATGGATGTTGTGTCAGTAGGTTTCACCTGCAATTTATAGATTTTCTGAATGCAGAACATGTGATTGTATCAAAGTAATGAAAAGACTGACTACAGTAAATCTCCTGGCGTGCTCTGAGTTGTAATCCTTTACTTTAGCCAATGCAAAGCAGTACTTTTTATAAGGCTTTTAAAAATACTATTTTACATTACAACCAGATGTTTCAAGCTATAATTTTCTCAAAAAGTCGCAAGCTAGGATTCCAAACCTCAAGTGCAGTGTGTTCTTCATACATAGTAATTAGTTCTTCATTTAGTGAAAGCAAACCCCAGAGCATTGAGATAGTAAACTTGTGCAGAATTCCCGCATGCACATTTCTCAGGCCCAGATAAACGGCGAAATACAGTAAGCTCAGACACTCATCCAAGTCGAGAAAAGTATTTAAATCGACAGATGGAACATACGCAACCATAAAACACACAATGGAGTGGATCATTTACAGCTGCGAATATTTTCTGCACCACACAGGCAGACGGCATTTATTCAGCGCTCGCTTTGAACACAAGCGTGTCCTCGGTCTCTTCGGGCTTAGTTGAAATTAGTTTTTGATGATGCTCTCCATCTGTGGAATCTTTGTGAATATTTTGTCTTTTAAAGCAATGCACTTTTGCTTCTCATAAAGCTCATAAGATCTATTGTCACAGAACTTAAGAAATCTTTGTGTTGACATAGTGATGAAATTCTTCTGCTTTTTCTTTTTTTTTTTCCTTTCAGCCAAAGGCTCTTGGACAGATCCTTCTCTCTGAGGTTTTCCACAGAGGCAACCTCATAGAGAGTGATTACTTTGGCCTCGAGTTTCAGAACATGCAGATGAACTGGGTACGTACATCTCTATTTCCTGTTTGAAGCGGACGCATTGGACATGGAGGAGCTGACTTGCGCACTGATTGGTTGAGGCAAACTTTTTTTTAAAATGCTTGATGACAACAGGATGGGCATTCGGGGAACAACATGGACTTATAAGTCATTAGTTGCTCTTCTTCAGCAATGCAAACAGTGAGGTAGTGTTTTCTCTGGACTTGAGTAGTATATAACTTTGGAATATTTTTAACTTGTCTGGCAGCAGTGCTCATATACACATGTCAGACTTTCCATTGTTTTACTCTTCCAGAAACATAAGTGGAATTCAAGACCACCTAGAAGTTTTTGTAAAGCAGCAGAGAGGAGTTATGGAGCCCACTATATATCTTCTTCAAAGAGAATGAGGCCAGTGTTGTTTAATAAGACGCACCGGCCTCTTTGCTCGTGTACGCTCAGCTGCCCGAGGACTGAAAACTATACCGTGTTTAAATATACACTACATTTGCTGCTCTGCAGTCTGGTTTTTAAAGGAGCTTCTTCCATTAACAAACTAAATCTTTTACGCATAGTGAATTTTTACTGAGCGTATGAAGGAAGCTTAGCTGCAGCTGATGTCATGAACTGTCAGTGACCCAGCAGGGCACACACTGAGATTCTTTTGGGAGTAGCTGCTGTGTCCTCATCAGTTATTTCATCGTTCAGGAAGCTCTTACTCAGAATAATAATAATAATATATTGAGAGTTTAACAAATAATTGGAAAATGTTTTCATGATTAATCATCCGAGTCATGAATCATTCGCTTTGTTAAAGCTTCCCAGCTGTGAGGACTGAATTCGGTACTCATAAAACCAAAAACTAATTTAAATTGGGCTAATCTGTCCCACGGGGTCACCCCCTGTGTGCACCTCTGCTGTTTTTATATCACTCCAGAGGTCCTGTTCAGTCTCGCTGATCTTGAGGCTCTGTGTTGCTCACCTGATCTCCTCTACATCCATTAGATGTCAAGTCAATGAGAGGCACTTTATGTGAATAGCATTGGTTTGATTGTCTTACTTCTGCTTATATAGAATCTTCTCCACCAGATGCCAAAAGGTGTTAAAGCAGAACTAAACAAGTCCTGTGACTTATGGGGAGAGGGTTAATAGCTTCAATCTTGCTCATGCACTGCAGACTCTTCCACGAACATCTTGGACTGCAGTTTGATCACCAGCGATGATCCCGGGCATGAAAGTCGAGTTGTTGTTTGCTGTCTGCACAACATTTGAGAACTTGGATGAAATCCAAAATGTACAACTTTTCAAACAGGAGTGACTTCAGAGAGGTAGCGGAACCTGAAAAGGTCTCCAGGTGAACAAGGTGACTTTGAAGGGAAAATGGTCAAAGTGGCGTTCAGGTATTGTTTAAGGAGTAGTCGCCCCCAAATTTCATGATGGCACTACGTATCTGAAGTTTCTAAATCCTGCTTGATTTGGCAGATTTTTACACTGGATGGCCTTCCTCATGCAACAATAAGGGGTTTATGTCTCCTCCCAAAATCTATCTGGGCATATTTTGCTTGTTAGACAAATGTGTAAACCACTGCACCATGGGATTTTAAATGACGTACCAAAAAAGCTGTGAAAACAGTCCAAAATCCTCAGATATTCAGTGCTGCAGAGTAAGACGGGAATAAGCCTCAAATTGGCACATTTGAAAAGCTAGTGTGTTTGGAGGGTTTGCTTATTACATGTTTGGTAAATCAATACTTGGAATACTTGCATTCTACTCATTTCGTTGGGTTTCCCATAGATATGGTATCAGTACTTTGCCTCTGATTATTTCTACACATGCATTTGTACACTTCCAGAACCAATCAGCGAGTCTGCTGACGTAATCCTGCCCACGTATCGAGCGACACACCCATCACTGATTGCGTAGTGGTTGTGTAGTTGGCTTGACGCTAACTTTAATGTTGTCCTTATAGTTGATGTCCCCAATGTTTTCTAAATTTCAGTGACATTCCTCGACCAGCACATTGCTACTAGTCCGTCTTTGTGGGTAGTTTTTTTTTTTTTTAAAGTTCAAGTGTAGCTATGGGATATCCAGGTCAAATACAGATGGTTTTTATTTATGTATTTATTTGTTTTTAAACTTAAAACAACATCAGACGATAGCTGATGGTTTCAGGAATGTTTTGGCAAATGTAATCCCTCTTTTACTCTCTACACTGACCATTTACCAAAGCCTGCTCAAGTGTGGTTAGCCAGTAGAATTGGAGTAGAAGCAGAAACCAGAAAGCTTTTTTTTTTTTTTCATTTTTAATAGAAATTTATATACAAACTGGCACATGTGTGACTACGAATTGAGTAGAATTCAGGCAGCAATCAGCTGATACCAATTTCTCAGTATATCTGTCTGGATCGAGCGCATTCCTCCCTCAATCAGCCCCAGATGTACGGCTTGAGCAGCCTCCTACACTGAAGCCAGTGTTTTGCCAACAGCATTGTGACATCTCTCTTCTGTTTCAAATGGGGCTGATGCAGCAAACAGTCGCTGTGTTACAAGGGAGTCACTGAAGTTATCCTGCCACCACCTGTCAAAGTTATAGTTCACATTATGTTCTGTTTTATTTGGGTTTTTTTTTTTCTCTTTAGGTTTGGCTGGAACCCACAAAACCCATTTCAAAACAAGTCAGAAGTAAGTGAGGCTGATTCTTAGCTCTGAATCCACCTAATAAAAAGTGTTTTGGGCATTGATAATCTGCTTGTGCGTTTACAGGACCAGCAAATACACTTTTTAGACTGTCAGTGAAATTCTTTCCCCCCGATCCGGGTCAGCTGCAGGAGGAGTACACCAGGTCAGTGACTGTAATTTCCTTTTGAATATCACTTTTATCTCTACCTGTATGAGGAGCTTGAGGAACATGGTTTCTGTTTTTTTTATTCCTCTTTTTTTAGAAGCTCTGTTATTCTTTGTCTTCTTTAAAAATACTTTTTCTGCAGTTAAAAACTTTGTGATCGTTGTTTTTCCAAGAGTTATTTGTTTAAATGGCACTTAAGGTTCCTAAAGATGCTTAATCCATGATGAGCTTAGTTTGTGGTTATTTACTTCTCATGAACATAAATAGATGGACACTAAGCTTATGACTGTGTGTGTGTGTGTGCGCACATGCTTTTTTTCCCCTCTCCTTTAGGTATTTATTCTCCCTGCAAATGAAAAGGGATCTGATGGAGGGCAGGTTGATCTGCACAGAAAATACTGGTGCCCTGCTGGCCTCTCACCTTGTCCAATGTAGGTTCTTTCTGTTTTTTTGTTAAAGCCGACCGTGTTATCAGACTAAATTAAATTATGCAGTAGTAAGAGCACTTGTAAAATCTCTAGTAACTGGTTTGCTCGATTTGTTTCAGAACATAATCCTGTTCACAGAAACCGCAGATCTTAAAGGTTTTTTTTCGTTTTTTTTTTTTCTTTTTTAAAAAAAATTATAAAATAAAATTAAAATTAAAAAAAATCTCAGAGTTCAGTGTGTTATACCTCCTCTTAAAGGTCTTTAAAAACCTCATGGTAAAACGGTGTTAAGAGACCAGATGAGAAAGCGCACGTCTAGATTCAAAAAGTAATTCTTATGGTAATTTGCAGCAAATTGTGTACGGAATAATTTGTGAGCTATAATCTAAAGTAACAGCAAATCTACAGGTCACAAAAGAATAGAAACAATCTGTTAAAACCTGAAATGAGCGTAGTCTCGCTTCGTTTTCTCTCCATAAATCACAGCGGAGATCGGCGACTACGATGACACAGCAGACAGGGAATACCTGAGGATAAACAAGCTGTTACCTTACCAAGAGAAAGTACAAGAACGGATCATGGAGCTCCATCGCAGGCACCTGTAAGTTTTGCCTTTTTGTCTAAGTGAAATCTTTCTCCCTCTTTTCCAAATTGCTCTAACCGTCTGGCTCCTGTAGTTCAGTTTATGGCTGCTTTCCTTTCTCGCATTCCTCGCGCACTCAGAATACTTGAATATGACCTGTAAACGTAAACAGGGATGCTTCGTTCCTGATGTCATTACCAAAATTAAAGTCAGCCAGACTTTCAGCTTCTTCAGACTCTCTTCTAGCGACTTTCACGGTAGACCAGCCGCCTGCAGATTGTTCTGTTGCAGCTGCTGACTGTGCACTTCTGAGAATAAATGCAATTCATTATTTTCTCCAGATGACCACATGTTGAGGCGATTTGAAACAAGTTAACTGTGACATCGAAGTCTCTTCCAGGCATTGCCATCATATTGTGGGTTTGTTAGATTGGCCTGCAGTGAGGATGCAGGGGAAATGCAAACGATCACTGTGATACCATGATTGGTATGGATGATAAGAAGCTGAATTTTCATACTGGTAGATGAAAAATAGCACGGGTTCATTTCACTGGCAGATGAGATGCAAGCTTCAGATTAAACAAATGATTTTAGCTTTTGCTCTTAAAACTGCACACGCACAGCACGTACTGTAGTACTGGCTCATTTATTTAGACCTGTTCTTCTTGTGGAGCTTTGCATGAGTCACAACAAGAAGGTTTTGTTTCTTTTATCTTGTACTGGGTTACCATACAGTCGATCATTTATCTGAAACAAGCCATTTTACCTCCTTTCCCCCTGCTTCAACCCAGCAGTCGGTGATCATAGCTCACCGCTGGCGACACATGTTGTCATTATCAGCGTATACGTGTTCTAATATTGAAACATGCTGAGAAGTATGCTTTGTGTAAGACTGTTATCGCACAATTTTTCCAGCAGATGGACTCTGGCTGTGTTTTTATAATGCACTCTGTGCTGTCTGCAGCACATGTTGCAGAATCTGCATCAAGGCTGTGTGACTGTTTTGTGAAACGCATTTCTGCAAAGTAAACAAAACCAAAGCAGTGAGCCCCAAAAATCCAGATGCATCTTGTATGGAACGTACCATTGGCCTATATAAGACATGGGATGCATAGCCTTGTTGGTTTGACAGGCAGGGGTTATACTCAGCTGCAAACAAACAGCTGCAGTCACCACAGGCAAGCAGTCATTATGTTGTATTGTCTCTTTCCAAGTCTGCCTAAAGACGGAGCGTGCAGACGGAGCCTTGCGCTCTCTGCTTGATGACTAAATTTACGTCACTCAGACAGAAGTGGTCCCTCGCTGATGTGGAAACTGTAACACCCGCATCAGCCTGTTAAGTGTTGCTTCTTTCAGACATCTGAGTTTCTGCATTACTGTGCCTCCCTGGTTTTATTCAGACATGCCTAAACCATTCTGAAAAGAGTCACTGAGTGTTCAGCATTTGACTAAACACTCCAGCATGTTGAGTATAAAGTTTCTTGGTTATTTTGTCCCGTTCTTTAAATGGGTTCCAGCTATTTGGGCATAAAAATGTGTTTAAATGTCACTTCCTAAGCTTTACATAAAACCATCCCATGTGATTACTCATGTTTGGCTGTCTGTGGCCATTCTTCCACTGCACTGTAGCCTTGAACCTTTCTACAAAACATCTGATAGAGGAGCATGTTTGAGGCTTCACTGCTACGTTTGGGAATCATGTTATCCCTGCTGCATGCATTACCCAGACAGCCCCACAGAGTATTTCCAGCAGTGCAAACTCCTCTCAAGCATGCCAGTTCCTGCTGTGTGCCACTAGTAAATGTGGGGAGGGAAAAAAAACCCACATATTCGCCCGAAATAGCTTAAAATTCATGTGTGAAAACAATTTGTTAGTGTGACCGCCCTCAACCAGCCTTGTACGACTATAAAGAAATACGTCCCTAATGTAGGAAGATGCTGGAGAGTTATTCAACATGTTTATTTGTTCAGGTGTTTGTTTCTGGATGAGCTCGAATAAATAATCATTTCCTGAAAACTGATCTTGAAACTTTAGCACCCAGGCGCAGTGCACTTTTTTTTTTTCTTTTAATGATGTTGAACACAGTTTCCTGTAATGAGGTCAATGAAGTGTGACTATTGAGTGTTCTTGCTAAACAAACCACAGTGAGGGTTTTTCCCAGTTTTCGGCGTGTTACAAAACCTCTCACTCCACTTTTCCCACCATTGGCTCCCATGCAAAAGCAGTGCTATCCTGTGGCCAATGGGGACTCTTTTCAACCCAGTGTGTTAGGCAGCTCTAAAGACTTTTGCTAATCTTCCCTTGGTTGCCAGCGTGGAAGCACAAGCAACGAGCTCCCTGGCCTAATCCTTTGCTCTGGCCGGTCTATTAGCCATAAGGCCAGTAGGGCAGGGGAGGATCCTAAGGAGATTTAACTGCTTAACAGATGAACAAAATTAGAAGACTGTGATGATTGGATGGATATGTCTTCCTAACATGCTGTTTGGTTGTAATCACACCCTTTTTAAATGACTGAAATCCTCGAAATTATAGGGGATTTAAGGTCTCGCTGCTCGCTCTAAAGTTCATGCTGTCGTGCTTGGTTTCAATTTTATGTGGTAACTTTTTATTTTTTATTCTTTAACTGTACGTAAATATAGTGTAGTGTTAAACCAAACACTTTGAATGCTGTAGATGATTATTGCCCAACTTGATGAGAAATAATTTAATAAATTAATGGGGTACACAGTGAATTTGATTAAGGGAAGATGTGAATCACAAGACCGTAAAGTGACATGTTGGTGTGTTTATACAAGTGATCTAGAGCAACTCAAAGTTG